AAATTTGGCAAATGCATCTAACCTTGAGAGTTTTGAAAAAGGATTGTGGACATATATAATCAACATTTATTTGTGTATTTAGTATCTGTCATACACTAGATGTGTGTTAGGCTCAAGCACTTAAGCAAAATAACCCCCAGAATATCTGATTAAAAGGTGCTTACATTCTTGTTGAAGAGTCAAATTATTACAAATAAATAGATCAAGCCACTGCGGTTGAGGTATATAGGAAGGTGACGGAGTATGGGGGTGAGGGCACTGAACTTCATTTAGGCCCCTGCGTTGTGGTAGCAGGATGGGACAGCCTTCTTGGAAGGTGAGAAGCATGAACTGAGTCATCCATGGATTGAATAAGAACATAGTTGGACAAGCTTGGGAGGATGTGATGCAGGTGGGAATGAGAAACAAAACTTGACCACGGTGACAATTGGTATGTCAGACAAAAGGTAGAGCTGAAGGATCCCATAAAGGTGCCCTATTGATGGAACTACAAGTAATTCTGGTGTAGCTGATGTCCACGTATGTGAAGGACAGTGGTGGGGAATGGACTTTAGTGGGAAAGGATTGGGCTCCCATGGACGGCACTGATGGAATACACGCAGAGGAGGGGCATAGTGAGCTCCTTTCTCAACTTTCTCCTACAGATCTCACTGAGGGCAGTGGGATAGGTGGAGGTTGGCAGGGAAGGACCGACGTAGAGAAACCTGTGTGTCCCACATGCAGCTGTCAAGTGGAAAGAAAGTGGGTGTCTAGTTCAGGACCTCGGGGGCAAGATCTTGAGGAAGGACTTGTTTCTGGACATTTGTGAGGCCACTGGTGTTTCATGCTTTTCGAAGTGCATATCTAGGACATGTTTGATCTGCACGTTGGCTTTGTGATGTGTGCTTTAAAGGTATTGGAAAACTAAGGCCTGGCAGCTAAGGGGTTTACTCAGAGCCATATAGCAAACTAATGGGAGGGATATTGGTTGATGAAGATAGGCTTACCCCAGAAAAGAGAAAACTTTCAACTAGACATATGCCCAGGAAGAAACTATTGTATAAATCAGACACCCCTGTCAAAAGTTGTGGGGGAGTAGGTTATGAATAATGTTTTTGATTTCTTTCTCGTGGCCCTTTGAGTCACGCTGGCCGCCTTACATGGGAGGCGAGCCCTGGCTCAGTCTGTTCCGTCCCTGGCCACCATTTAAGAGCGTCTCTTCCCCTGCCTTCCTGTGTCGTTTGTTGTTTGTACTGCTCATTTGGCACTTGAAGTGCTTTGTATTTTTAGTTACTTGCCTGAATTAATGCTGTGCTCTTTGCTGGCTCACGATTTGGCAGTAACTTCTTGGGTGCTGCCTCTAAAGGACTTAGAGTTCACTTTTTTGCCTGGCTACACCGATTATCACTTTCTGGCAGAAATGAGGCACTGTTGTAAATCAGTTATTTCCTACCTTGACAACATGCGTCACCTCGCAGCCTGGCCTCACCTCCTGTCCCCTTCTTCTCCCCTGGCTCTCCTGCCACCACATGCACCCATTTCAGCCCCAGAGAACTTCTCTCCATCTCTCCAACATCAGAGGATGGTTTGTCAGTTCTTGTCCTTGCCCCATAGCCTCCCTCTGCCTGGAATGCACCCACTCCGTGGGGGTTTCTCTTCCCTGTCATCTTTTCTGCCTTGCAAACTCTTGATCTTTGTATTCTGCCCATGCCCCACTTCCCTCCTGGAAAGCTTACCTGTGCTTCCACGGCACCCAGTTTATATCTGGGGACTTGGGATACCATGGAGGTGTTTTCTCCTGTGAACACTGCCAAATGCTACTGTCCCTCCCCACCCTCTTCTCTGTGCTCTTCCCTCTATAGCTAGTCTGTAATTTTTTTCTTTCACCTTTCTCATTATTCTCATCACCAACACTGCATCTTTTCTTTCTTTTCTTTCTTTTTTTTTTTTTTTGGAGATAGAGTCTCTCTCTGTCACTAGGCTGGAGTGCAGTGGCACTATTTCTGCTCACTGCAACCTCCGCCTCCCAGGTTCAAGCGATTCTTCTGCCTCAGCCTCCTGAGTAGCCTGGACTGCAGACGCGTGCCACCACACCCAGCTAATTTTTGTGTTTTTAGTAGAGACGGGGTTTCACCATATTGCCAGGATGGTCTTGATTTCTTGACCTTGTGATCCACCCACCTCGGCCTCCCAAAGTGCTGGAATTACAGGCATGAGCCACTGTTTTTTTCATTTTTTTAATCCCTCCTGCCAAGCACAGTCTCGGGCACACACAGCTAATCAAAATGGTCATTGAGAATTTAGGATCTCAAAGTGAAAGTAGAATGAGAATTTCTAATATAGTTTTGCCTTTCAAGATATAAAATAAATGGGTGAAAAAAAATATTTTGAGGTTCTTTTTGATAAGATTTCCATTGTCTAAGGGGAAAAAAAATGAGAGACTTGTCCTGCTTTTCCACTAGATTTTGATTTCCTTGGAAAACAAGAGCATGTCTTATATTTTTTCCACTCCCAGCATTTAATATGGCATCCCACCATAGTAGTAATGCACTTTCAACTGATTTATTGCTTTTCTTGATCAGAGGGGTTCCTAGTGACTGTTCGAGCCTAATCCCAGGTTTATTTTATTTTGGAGAAGTATGGCCAGCGTCAGGTGAAGACAATCAACAGTTGGCCAATGATTGAGGAAAAAGAGGCTTGACTAAGTCCCAGGGATAATCAATTAAACGATCTTTTAAAAACACTTGACTCCTTTTATTAAAACATGGGGACATTTAATAAAATTAAAACATGGGAAACGGAAACACAAGGGTAAATTTCAGCTTTGTATAGTGAAATTCATTGTTTGGTATCACCAGATCTCATGTTTTAAAAATCCAGCCATGCTTTGTTTTCTTTTGCATTTATAGAAAACTTCAACTTTGTATTACTGTTCACATTCACATAACCCTTCCTACGCTCAACAGATAAATTACTCCAAATAGATGGCTGTTATGCTAGATATTTAAATATTAAAGTAGGCTATTAAATATACTCTCAGAAAAATTGAGAGATGGTGAAGGGCACATGTCTTACTGTTTTCTGTAAATTCTTGTGACCCTAGAAAACATATAAAATATCTCTCTAGGTCCATGTTCAGCTGTATTTTCGATGGTGTCTGTTAGTACTGAAAATAATTAAAAGGTATTTGTTTGAATGCTTCCTGGGATTCTTACAGGAGAAGAAGGGCCCCTAAGATGAGGTGTTCTAAGACTTCTGAGAGTAGCAGTTTATACCCAATATGACTTGTTTATGATTTGCCAGGAAGGTTTTAATCCACTGACTGATATGCATTTCAAATGCAGTTACACAAGGTGGGTAAGTTATTTGGAATTAACTAGTTTTTTGTTTTGTTTTTTTTCTTGGGAGACAGAATCTCACTCTGTCACCCAGGCTGGAGTGCAGTGGTGTGACCTTGGCTCATTTGAACATCCACCTCTTGGATTCAAGCGAAATCTTGTGCCTCAGTCTCCTGAGTTAGCTGGAACTACAGGCATGCGCCACTACACCCAGCTGATTTTTGTACTTTTAGTAGAGACAGGGTCTTGCCATGTTGCCCAGGCTTGTCTCGAACCCTGACATCAAGTGGTCCGCCCGCCTTGGCCTCCCTAAGTGCTGAGATTACAGGCATGAACCACCACACCCAGCCTAGATTTTTAAAAAATATAATTTAGACTAGTTTCGATCTCAAATATAAACCTTTATTTAGCCAAATTTGTGAAGTTTTAAAAAGATCTATAATATTTCTTGAAAAGATGCTCTTTATCATAGCTAATGTTTTGCATAAATGGTTTGTATTTGTATGGAATTTGTAAGAATGGATTCCCACTGTTAGTAATTTCTGTGATAAGTGAAAAGGGAATTGAAGCTTTTCAGGTGGCTTCTAGGAACTAGAACAACTGAATTACAACTTTCCTCACTGTCTCCTTCTGTCCCCTCCAACAACTTTTTAGGTATTTAGGAATAGAAGAAAGACCTGGAGGAAGAAAAGAGAGCAGTAAACCAAGTTATTACCTCATTGTTTGAACCCTTTGTTGAGGGAAAAGAAATAATAGATGTCTTGGTTTTATGTCTATGAAGGGGAAGAATCCATTTTCTAATTCCAAATAATGAAGTTAAACAGTTTTCTGTTTAAGGAGTTGATATAATTCTGTTGGAAAAGAAAAGGTTTCCAGGCCACTGGAAATCATGCAGGGGCAGAAGCTGAAATTAGCTACTTTTCACATTTGCTTTCGGGCAGAGGAAGAGCTCATTATTTATCTCTCTTTTCCTCTGCCTTCCCACGTGGCTATCCTCTTTACATTTTATTTTATGCCTTCAATATGATTGTAAATAATAGAACCATCAGTCAGACAGCTGTGCCTGGCAGTTAGCGGGTACTCAGTACATGTAGAATGAATTAATGAGGAAATGAGTATTTCCTATTATATTATTTGCATCCCTCCTAATGGAAGAGATTAATGTATAACAATGTTTTTCTTAACAAAATATTTTTATAACAAAAAAGGGGTATTTTGATGATGGTCTTGGTTTATTACTCCCTAGCTCTGGTTTGTGGACAACTTTTTATTTCTATTTATGGTTTGAAGCCACTAGATTCATGTGCTTTCCCTAGGTGGCTTGGGTGTTTTTGATCACCAAAGGAATTTTTGTTCTATGTCTCCAGTGCCCTGTTGGGCATTACAGGGCTGTTAATATACACTGTGGGAGAATTTTGCTAATAGTTATGATTACATGAGAAGTTTTCACGTATTTCCTTCTAACAATTATCCTTCTTCCAATACCCTGCAGGGTGTATATTTATTGCCTTTTTCTCTGCCTGTTTTAGGACCTACCTTTAGCTTCCAGGACTGCCCTGAGGTATGAGGAAGGTGATTAGCATTTTCTTCTGTCACATTATAACCTGTGACACCCATCAGTGAAATCTTGGGGGAACCTGTACTCTCTTGCTAACCCAACACAATTCTTGTCCTTGTGTGCAGGTATAGTGGAGGATTACAAGCCACCGTTCTACGACGTGGTTCCCAATGACCCAAGTTTTGAAGATATGAGGAAAGTAGTCTGTGTGGATCAACAAAGGCCAAACATACCCAACAGATGGTTCTCAGACCCGGTAAGAATGCCAGTTTCTCAGTTTTAGAGCTCTTTTCCATTGTTTGCTATTTGTTTCCCTTTGAGTTTCAACTGGTATAGCATCTGAGTGATCTGTCCTGTGTATCTGTTGTTTTCTCTTCCTATTTTATGTAGAAGGGTTTAGATCTAGTAGAGTAAGCTCAGACAAATACTCCCATTCTCGAAGAAGCCATATCTGATAGGGGTTGCTAGTGAATGACAATATTTGTAAGAATTTCTATGAATGAGCAGTTCCAAGAATCGGGAGACTCATGACTACCGCTACTAGCCCTAAGACTGCAGTTTCATATGTAAACCAAGAGACTTTAAGTGAAGCTTTTAACCTCCTTTCCATCTCTGCATATCTGAAATCCCAAACACAAGCTGCTGAATGCTGAAGATCCTGTATTGCTACTCATAAGTAGTAGTAGATATAAAACAATGAGAAATGACCCTGTTTGGAAATTTCAGGATTATCTCTAGGTTAATATTGCTGCTTTTAGCACCCATAAAATCATTAAGGGGTCCAATCTGGCCTATGTCATTTACCTGATAAAGTAAATTGGTAGCATTAAGAGTCCAAAGGACAGAGTTCATGAAACTCTGTGAGTGGCCTCTTTATCAGTGGTTAAAGCTTGAATATTTGTTTAAAGAAGATGACAGTAACATAACTCTAATTTCACAAGACCTGCGAGTTCTTCAGAACAGTTGACATGATATCTGCCCAGCTTCCAGGGCCACTAAAAAGCCAGTTTGTCATTGTGGTGTTTGTTCTTTCTCTCCTCAGACATTAACCTCTCTGGCCAAGCTAATGAAAGAATGCTGGTATCAAAATCCATCCGCAAGACTCACAGCACTGCGTATCAAAAAGACTTTGACCAAAATTGATAATTCCCTCGACAAATTGAAAACTGACTGTTGACATTTTCATAGTGTCAAGAAGGAAGATTTGACATTGTTGTCATTGTCCAGCTGGGACCTAATGCTGGCCTGACTGGTTGCCAGAACAGAATCCATCTGTCTCCCTCCCCAAATGGCTGCTTTGACAAGGCAGACATCGTACCCAGCCATGTGTTGGGGAGACATCAAAACCACCCTAACCTCGCTCGATGACTGTGAACTGGGCATTTCACGAACTGTTCACACTGCAGAGACTAATGTTGGACAGACACTGTTGCAAAGGTAGGGACTGGAGGAACACAGAGAAATCCTAAAAGAGATCTGGGCATTAAGACAGTGGCTTTGCATAGCTTTCACAAGTCTCCTAGACACTCCCCACGGGAAACTCAAGGAGGTGGTGAATTTTTAATCAGCAATATTGCCTGTGCTTCTCTTCTTTATTGCACTAGGAATTCTTTGCATTCCTTACTTGCACTGTTACTCTTAATTTTAAAGACCCAACTTGCCAAAATGTTGGCTGCGTACTCCACTGGTCTGTATTTGGATAATAGGAATTCAATTTGGCAAAACAAAATGTAATGTCAGACTTTGCTGCATTTTACACATGTGCTGATGTTTACAATGATGCCGAACATTAGGAATTGTTTATACACAACTTTGCAAATTATTTATTACTTGTGCACTTGGTAGTTTTTACAAAACTGCTTCGTGCATATGTTAAAGCTTATTTTTATGTGGTCTTATGATTTTATTACCGAAATGTTTTTAACACTATACTCTCAAATGGACATTTTCTTTTATTATCAGTTAAATTCACATTTTAAGTGCTTCACATTTGTATGTGTGTAGACTGTAACTTTTTTTCAGTTCATATGCAGAACGTATTTAGCCATTACCCACGTGACACCACCGAATATATTACTGATTTAGAAGCAAAGATTTCAGTAGAATTTTAGTCCTGAACGCTACGGGGAAAATGCATTTTCTTCAGAATTATCCATTATGTGCATTTAAACTCTGCCAGAAAAAAATAACTATTTTGTTTTAATCTACTTTTTGTATTTAGTAGTTATTTGTATAAATTAAATAAACTGTTTTCAAGTCAAACAGTGAAATTGTTTTTCAAAATATAAAAAAGATCTGTGTAACATTACGCATTTTATTATGGGAGCAATAGAAGCACAAAACTAATTTGTAAATTGAATTTGTTTTTTAAATCTACTCACGCACTTACGTAAGACATCATAAGGATGTCTTACAGCTTGAATTTGGTAAAAGAAAATTTGTTTCTTCCGTTGGCTGTGATTTTTTGTTTTTTTCTTTTTCAGTCAGTTTCTCCAGCTGTAAGATGAGGGTAACAGATATCTCTGACCTGTCTTTCTTGCAGGGGGGTGTAATGAGTGTAAACGGGAAGGAGGATGTTAAAGCATTTTGTTAGTGAAAGGTTCCATGTGAGTGTAAAGTGGTCTTATGCATCCCCTCTTACGGCTTGGGAGAGTCCATTCTTGATTTTTTCACTTCTTGTATGCAAGATTAAAAAGGTAGAGTTAACAGTAGCCCAATAAGAGAAGAGGTGTGAACATGCTGGAATGTCTTCCAGAGGTAAGTTAATAACTTCATTAGGATGCATGTATTTACTTGGAAGGTATATATTAGAATCACTTTTTTTTTAATTAAAAATTAAAATTTTAATTTGTGTTACAGATAACATAAAATTTACTAATTTTAAAGTGTACGTTAACTACATTCACCTTGTGCTACTATCACCATCATCCATCCACAGAACTCACGTGAAACTGAAACTATATCTGTCAAACAATAACTCCCCATTCCTCCCTCCTTGGTCCCTGGCAACCGTTATTCTACTCTGTGTCTCTGAGAGTTTGATTACTCTAAGCACCTCATGGAATCAAGTAGTATTTGTCCTTTTGGGAGACTGGTTTATTTTACTTAATATTATATCTTCAAGGTTCATTCATGTTGTAGCATGTGTTTGAATTTCCTTCCTTTTTCAGGCTGAATAATACTCCACATTTGTATATAGAAACTGCTTATCCATCCATCCACTGAGGGACACTTGAGTTGCTTCCATCTTTTGGCTTTTGTGAATAATGCCGCCATGAACATGAGTGTGCAAATGTCTCTTTGAGTTCTTGCTTTCTACTCTTTTGGGTATATGCCCAGAAGCGGAATGGTGTTACATTTAACTGTTATTAAAATATTACATAATCACATCAAAGTATACATATATAAAAGTGTACAACCCGATGAATTTTTATGAATTTATTACATCCATGGAAGCAGCACCCAGATGAGGAAGCAGAGCATGCCAGAAGTCTCCCTCTTGCAGCTACCTCACTCTCCAACCCCAAGAGTAACCACCTTCCTGACGGCTAAGAGCATTGATCATATTCGTTTCTTACTGAAGACTTTATAAATGGAATCATACAAGATGTGTGCATGCAGGAGTGTACTCTCTGGGTAACAGGGTCCAGTGTATGTTAGGCTTTAGTATATGTTACCAAACCGTCTTCTTCACAAAGGGTTATTCAGTGTTTATTCCCATTAGCTGCCCATGAGAGTTCTGGTTCTCCATCTTCAACAGTACTTAGTATGTTCTTCCTTTTCATTTTAGTCTTTCTGTTGAGTATTATGCACATTTCAGCAAAACAAAGACACAAAGTGAATAACTGATTCTATTTAAAGAGCTCTTGCCATTCCCCTCAAGCGAGTCTTTTTGAAGAGACTTGGCCCTTCCATCCTGCTTCCTATTCTGTCAGCCTCACCCCAGCCTCCCTTCTTAACCCCGGCAGCAGCCATTTTTTGCAGTAGCAATAGGTGAATCTAGTTTGCAGTTGTTCTAAAACTTGCAGAAGCACCTTTATTGTGCCCTTACGTCAGAGATGCCAGTATCAACTGACCAGGGTTCACACCCCAGAGGGCTGCCCTGCCCTCAAACTCAGAGACACCAGTGTCAGCTCAACAGGACCTCCACCTCAGAGGCCCAAGGATCAGCTCTCTGGGTGCTCCCCTTTAAACTTCAAAGTTCTGGTAATTCCATCCACTTCCTTTTGTTCCTTTAGCCTTGGGGTAGCTGTATAGTAGTCTGTTCTTATGCTGCTATAAGGATATACCCGAGACTGGATAATTTATAAAGGAAAGAGGTTTAATTGACTCACAGTTCAGCATGGCTGGGGAGGCCTCAGGAAACTTATAGTCATAGCAGAAAGGAAAGCAAACACAGCCTTCTTCACATGGCAGCAGGGAGAAGAATGAGAACTGAGCAAAGTGGGGAGCCTCTTATAAAACCATCAGATCTCATGAGAACTTACTGTCATGAGAATAGTGTGAGGGAAACCACTCCCATGATTCAGTTCTCTCCCACTCCCATGACACATGGTGATTACAATTGTTATGGAAACTACAATTCAAGCTGAGATTTGCGTGGGGAAATCTTGGTATGGACACAACCATGCCAAGCTGCTGTCTCTAGTTGATTCCTCTGTGGTACTTTTTGTTTTTGTTTTTGAGATGGGGTCTTACTCTTTTGCCCAGGCTGGAGTGCAGTGGTGCAATCACAGCTCACTGCAGCTTCAAACTGCGCTCCAGTGATTCTCCCATCTCAGCCTCCTAAGTAGCTGGCACTACAGTCGTGTACCTCTATGCCCAGCTATCTCCATGCCACTTTAATGTCTTTTTGGCCTTTTCTGTTACATAATTAATAATTTGTTATTGCTAGTCAACTATTCTCTCTACTGAAAAATAACAAAAAACTGATGTAGTATCTGTCACCTGACTGGACTTGGACTGATGAAAGCATTATCCCATTCATTATCTCTTTCATGATACTTGTTAAGGTAGGTAGAACAGTTGTTATATCCCCAAATTACACACCAGAAAACCGCCGCAGTGATGAAGTGTGATTGTGCAGCTAATTAGTAGCCGAACTAAAATCAGATAATTATTACAGATAATTATTACGTTTTTTAGGCTAGAGCTCTCTTAGTTACCTGTGACTCCTTCACCTCTATCCCCACCCTTGCCTTTCAGTTTATATATCTTCCTAGGGGAAGGACTAAGAAAATAAAGGGCATTTGGCCTGACATTTGTTGTTTTATTTCTTAACGTGTTTATATTTCACAGGAAGATCAAGTGACACAAGTCCTAGGCAAATCTCTTTTTTTTCTAGAATATTTACTCCGCAACAAGAAGGGATGATCTTCCTGTCTCCTCTCACCCCATCCCAAAATAATCATTTCTTCACTGAAATTGGAATGTCCTGAAGGACTCTCTCATTCGCTACAGGCCTGTGTTATATGTGAGCACCTCTTTGGCTCCCAAGATTTCTTTTCAAAGCATTCTGACTCTTATTCTCCCTCTGCCAGGGACCCAGGACGCAGTAGACTTGTCCCTCAGTATACGCAGGGAATTGGTCCCAGGACACCAATTCATGCACACTCAAGTCCCATAGTTGGCCTTGCAGAACCCTTGCGTAGGTAACGTTGGCCCTCCCTATATGCAGGTTTTACATTCTGTGAATACTGTGTTTTTGATTGAATTTATGAATATAAGTGGACCCGTGTCGTTAAACCTGTGTTGTTTAAGGGTCAACTGTATTTCAAAACCTAATGAATTCACATTTTTGAGGAGTGTCCTATTGTGCAAGACCTGTACTCTAGAGTGTGACCCACTGCACTGTCATTTTGACAGTTTCCATTAGCCGAATCACCCTGAATAGCTGTTACCCTCTCCATGCAACTCTCTCTTATTGGATGAGGTCACTACAATTGCTCGGAAACTCCTCAGCTTGGAATTTAAAGTGCATCCATGATTCGCTTATTTGACAAATAAATTTTAGTGTCAAATATCAGAGAGGAGAGGCTTCTGTCCTGTCCTTCCTCTCACACTGGTGACCCTTTGCGTTTGGCTTTGTTAAATCCCTTTGTTTATTCTGCTGGTCTTACATATTTTTGTTGTGGCTCACCCATTAGATAGTTATTAATCATAATAATTGCGATGCTAATGTTTACTGAGCATTTACGACATGCTGGCTTATTTGCTTACTGTTGAACAGGTACTCCTCAGAAATATTAAGAGATAGGTACCATTATTATTTTTATTTTACATTTAGAGAAACTGAGGTTTGTGAGGTTATAATAGTGCCCATCACTCAACCACAAAAACAGTAGAGTTGGAATTTGAGCCCAGGTAGACTATTCTAGCACCTGGACTCTTAATTAATATGCTGCTGTTTGTTGAAAGAGATTACACATTTTGTTCTACTTTTTTTTGCGTGAAAATGTTATTGACTTCTTTTCAATAGAATATGCATACTGAATTGCTGTGTTATGAGTTGGGAGAGGTTGGCTTGCTTTTTCCAGCAAATGATCTTTTCCTCTTATTTAGTTTGAGTGTTTTTATAAATGAATTCAGGATACCAATTTACATGCCAGATATGAAGTCAGTTGTTGAAAATATGCCTAGAAAAAAATATCCAGTTATACCAAAATATTTAACATGATTATCTTTGAGTGGTGTTGCTCTGTGTTATTTCTTCACATATTCTGTGGTTTCCATCTTTCTAAAATGAGAATGTATTTTGGAAGGTTGAAGTTATGGCAGTTTTGTGCTGATTTGGGAGGTCAGGTGGTCTGTAGAGTTCTACAAGGTTTATAATAAAAAGCAGCGATCTTGGGCTATTTTCTTTTCTTTTTTTTTTTTTTTTTTTTTTTTTGAGACGGAGTCTCGCTTTGTCGCCCAGGCTGGAGTGCAGTGGCCGGATCTCCGCTCACTGCAAGCTCCGCTTCCCGGGTTCACGCCATTCTCCTGCCTCAGCCTCCCGAGTAGCTAGGACTACAGGCGCCGCCACCTCGCCCGGCTAGGTTTTTGTATTTTTTAGTAGAGACGGGGTTTCACCGTGTTAGCCAGGATGGTCTCGATCTCCTGACCTTGTGATCCGCTCGTCTCGGCCTCCCAAAGTGCTGGGATTACAGGCTTGAGCCACCGCGCCTGGCCTACTTGGGCTATTTTCTGCTTTCATTTTCCTCTTCCCCAGTAGCAACCATTTTCTTTCTTTTTTTTTTTTTTTTTTTAATTATACTTTAAGT